AAGCATCGTTATCGTGGACACTTAAACCGCATATTTAGTGTTTTAAGAATTAAAAAAAATTTGACTAATTAAAGAGGAGACGTTTCTTAATACAGGCACACAAAAAACATTTCTTTTGTGCACACGTGTCATAATCTCAATCATCTCTCTCGACCAAAGGCATCTGTGATCTCTCCTCGGCGATGACCTCTCCGCGACGGAATCAACCGATTCTCCTCGAAAGCACTTGTCGTGCAAGCCCGTAAAGTCGTCTCCCACCTCATGACATTCTCTCCTCTCCCTCCTCGATCTGCATATTAAGCAGAGCAATCGAGACTTACGGAAGAATAGGTTGTGCGAAGGATGCACGCGAGTTGTTCGAGAAAATGCCTGAACGAGACGGAGGGTCTTGGAACGTGTTGATCACTGCTTGGAAGATACCTCAGTTAAGACTCTAATTAGCTTCACACAGTACTTCATTCACCTTGTTTTCTCCGTCGATGAACATGAGAACCTGTAAAGTTGAGGTATAAACACAATTTAACGATTCTCGCTAATTGTTTTTAATCATCGAAACTTTGATTTGATCTCTCTTCTTTTTTTTTGTTTGCTGTAGTTGTGAACTTAGCCTGTAAAAGGGCAGACATCAGTTACAAGTAATCAGACCAAACAAGATGTTTCACCTTTTTTTTGTTTTCCACCATCATCTACGTCATATATAATTGATCTCTTTTTGCGTTTTTGTTTGTCTTTGTTTTATGGTTTGGGGTGCTATTGGTAGATGGTGATGCGTACGATGAAAGATCTCCATAAGATTTGTCCTGAGATTGTTGAATGCTCGTGTCTCTTGGATATAAGACATGTAGATACGGATAAGGTATCCATGCAGAACTTTGAAATCAATTGCTTGACCAATTTTTGTTTTCTCTGATCAAACCTGGTCTTGCAACAGTTGCTTAACCAATTTTACAACGCTTTGAAATCAATTGGAGATTTATGGATTAATGACAAGGAATGGATCATCAAATCCAATTACAGGAACAGTATTAGCATTAGGAAGAATCTGTCTGATGGACTTGGTAAGCATTCCAAAAACGTTTTATGATTATTATGCTATTTTTTTTTCTGAATAAACTTTTTCATTAAATAAGAAGTTCTACAGATGAGGAGTGTAGTCAAGAAGTAACTTCTTTGCTAAGGCGTTGGCTAACACATTGCCGGGTCGAAAAATGTAAGAAAAATTACAAAGATAAGAACCATGTTCTAGTAATATTTTATTGAATTTCTTGATTTGGTTTCTTGCAGCGGGAAAAGTTTTAGCTGCACTAGATGGACTGATTACTGGGAGCAACGAGATGCTCAACATGACTGAGATCAACTCAATTGATGTATTGAAAACTTGAATTGTGGGTTGTTGATGTTGTTATACAGAGAAGAAGTTCTAGGATTAGATTGTGGAGAAGCTATACTCTGGTAGAGCAACGAACAATGTTTGGATTGTGTACATGACTGAGTAACAACAACTATGATTTCTAAAAACAAACTTGAGTTGAGAATGTTTTATATATATTTTCTTAAGAACCATAATTAAGAGAATTGCAATAAACCATCTAAATATTCAAATCTCTTTATAAGTCTTTTAACTCACTTTTACACTTTAAAAACTATTAAAAATTAATTAAGAAACTCTTTAAGAGCATAAAGAGCATGATTAGAGAACCTTCAACCCTAAGAGCCTTTAGAGGTTCTTATATATATACTAGGGCCGGCCCGGGCTACGTCCGGGTTTTCAGTTGAAATTTTAATTATATATATTGTATGTTATTTTGATATAGAAATATTATAATATATTATAAAATATAGGTAGTCAGATAATTATATAATTAATTATTTATTTTTTTTAGTCTTTTGAATTTTAAAAATTTTAAAATCAAAATTTGGTATGTCATAGATTATCTATATGTGTTTTGCATAGAATTGTTGTGTATTGTGGCTGGTTTCGACTTTTGTTTCTTTATTTGTTGTCTGTTATTATTTTATTTTCAATTTTTTTGTAAAATTTTGTTTGGTTATTTACTACTCTTTGTTTACTATTTGAATTTTTTTAATAATTATTCTAAATTTGATCTTATTAACCTAAAATCAAAAGAAAAATTAGTGTGTGCATCTTTTTCCGTAGGTTTGATGAAACATAAAAGAAAATAATATGATAATAGATTTTTCGTCTTTCAAAACTTATAGACTTCTTTATTTATTTTGAATATATTTAATTATTCTGTAACGTTTACTTAACTATTAAATCTTTATTAAATTTTTCAATAAACACAGGAAAAAAACTTTTAATTATAATCAAGTTATATTACATAGCATAATTAAATTTTAATTAGTTTATTTTTATATCTTATAAGTTTTTGGTTTTTAATTTACTTTTTATGTATTAATTGTTAATTATTTTTATATCATTTTGTATTCTAGGTTAACCGTAAATTTGGTAGTAAAAAGAAACAAAAAAATCTGGGAGATTCAGTATTTTTAATTTCGTTGGTAGAAATCTAATGAAATGTATAAAGATTAATAGCACAAATTAATTTATCCTCTTTCTCATTAATTTTATTTATTCTAATTACAAATTTATTTGTTTAATTATATTATATATTTTCACTAAATGATTATTTTTTATGATTATAATAATTTTATTTATTATAATTATAAATTTATTCTTAAATGATGTTATATATTTTCACTAAATGATTATTTTTAACGAAAATATTAATGTCAATTTTTTTTGTTTCATTAAAAATAAAATATTAGTTATAATGATTTAGAATTATTAAATAGTTTGAAAGTTTCAGTGGCTGTATTTAGGGTTTAGTTCATGTTTGTTTGAGAGATGTTATACTGATCAGTATGATATAGTTGTGTATTTTTGCAAGTTCTATTCTCGGGCATATGGTATTATGTGTAAATTTGTCTCCAACTTATTCTTAAAAACTATCAATCAAGTGGAAAGATATTTACTCTCATTTACTCTTTTTTTATTACTGTTTCAAAAGAGATAAACGCACACTCATCGTTGTGCTAGATATAGTGAACGTAACAATATTTTCTCTTTTTTTCATTTTTTCTGATTGTATTTCTTCAGAAAAAAACTGTGAGATCATAGCGGCCATTGAAGTGGTATTATGAGGTGAGATATTATGAGACATGATGGTGTTCAACTAATGACATATTATTTTGTCATGTTATGCCTGATATTCAGATTTATTTTGTCTTCATCTTGTGTGTATTCGTTTCAAGATAATTGATTGTTATTTAGTGTTTACTTTGTCTATAATAAAATGAATGACATGTTCACTTAAACATTTCACAATCTCTATCAAAATTCAATGTCCGTTTATATTTTAGACATTTTTATTTTTATCTACTGTCAAACATATTTTATAATATTATATTATTTTTAGTATTATAATGTTTTATGTTTTGTTTATTTTTCATAAAAGCACATAACTACTTTTATGTGTTCGATTATTTTTTACGCAGTAATTGATATAAGTTTAGTGTGTATACAATATTATATTTCACAAAAACATACAATATAATTATGTGAGAATCTTTGTATTTGTGTGATGTGTTTATTCCTTTTGATTTAGTTTGTATTCTGATTTTTTCTGTATATTTAATGTATATTAATTCATAATGTGCTACTATTAAAAATCTAGTGATACACACACATAAATAAATAGATAAATAAATATATATCTATATACATATATATATATATATATATATATATATTCAAAATTAGTGAGTATATCTTATTTTTCTTAATTTATTGAAAATAAGAATAACATTAAATTTCACAATTTATATTTTTTATTTTATTATATAAGTAATTTCTAACATTTGTCAATGTTGATAAAATAAAATATCTAAGAAAATAATTTACGGATTATTTTCAGCCAATTTATGTGGGATCCTTTGTATTTGTTTGATGTGGTTATTCCTTTTGATTTAGTTTGTATTCTTATTTTTTCCTTGTATATTTAATGCATATTAATTTCTAATGTGCTACTATTAAAAAACTAGTCATATACACACACACACACACATATATATATATATATATATATTCAAATTTAAAGAGTATCTGATTTTTAATTTATTGAAAACAAAAATAACATTAAATTTCACTATTTATATTTTGTTATTTTATTAATAACATTTTTCATTATTTATATTTTTTATTTTATTATATCAGTAAATTCTAACATTTGTCAATGTTGATAAAATAAAATATCTAAGAATATAAATTATAGATTATTTACAGCCTGATTATTTTTTTTTTGAATTCATGGATACTATAATTTTTTTAATATATTCTTATTTCAAAATAAAAAGATTCATACATTTTAAAAAGAATTGATAAATGCATTCACATAAAGTAAGTCTTGGTTAATATTAAATATTATTTTTTGTAATAATAAGTTTGCATGCCATGTGTCATTTTCTCTCCATTCTATTTAGTGACATGGTATCACAAGAGGGAAGAAAACCCTTCTTTATATAATAAGATATATATATTTTTTTCTGATTTAAAGAAAAAAAAATTAAAACTAATCAATCACGGGCCGTCACGTGTCAATAGAGCCTGTAAACAGTACAAAAACTTCTCAAGAGCCGCCTTTTGCAGAAAAGATGGAAAGGGTGAGGTTTAGTTTTTTGTGGGGTCCACATCCCTTAAGAACCTCTTAAAAGTCCGGGTTGAAGGTGCTCTTATCCCTAAAGTTCCTAATAGGGCTTTTAATCACTTTTGAATAATAAATGTGTATTAAGAACTTTAAGTAGGAAACATCTAATTTTTAGCCTCAATTCATAAGTTCTAAAGTAGGGTTCTTAAGAAAAATAAACACTAACTACACTTTTGATGGATGGAAAAGAAGAAGGAGTTGTGCTTAATAGAAGAGAACTACATAACCTTTGGATTACAGTATAAATTATGAGAACCAAACATACAAATCAGTTCAGATGTAACAACAGGTAGCAAGTATACGTAGATCCTTCAAAAATGATTGAATATCACCTAAGAGTGCAATCTTTTCATCTGACCAAAGATAAACAAAAACTCCCTTACTTTCCAAAATCACCAAAAAAGCAATAATGTCAATTGATAGAGAGATAAGCAAAAAGGACTTTGAACTCACCTGAGGCAACTGAGGAAATGGCGACTGCAGCACCTCTAAACTGAGTAATGAAGTCCTTGTTATCAGAAGGATCACCATAGTTTTTTTTTACCATGAAGAGAGAATCACAAGAGAAAGAAAAACACAAATCGTTATCAATAAAAAATGCATATTTATTAGGATAACAGCATTTAACGAACTTTACATTATTGTGCTCAGAAACAAGCCATGATTCAAAAGATGAAAAGAGAAGGGAAGTAGTGATGCCTCCCAACACACGACCAACCATCAAAACCTTATATTGAGGAGAATGTTTGGTGATACAACTCAATATGTAGGCAATACAATACGTAACTCACACCCTCTTACGACCCTTGATACATAGAGTTGTTGAGATTTGAAATTTGGTGATACAGCTCAAGATAGTACACATATGGACCCTTCAACCAGTCACCCGCTGCCATTCACACGATTAAACAAAACAGTCATCAAAACTCGTATTACAGATCATTAATGATATAAAGTTTGAAACTTTAGTTTCACCAACCAATCTCTAACTCATGTTAACATTAATGTTAACAGATCCTAAATCTCCGACAAAACACACATAAACTTCAGTCACAAACTCCCACAAACACGAAAACTTATAAAACAAATCTAAAAGATGTATTCTTGACTCTTACCAATTTGATAAAACGATCACATTCCTCATCTCAGAGAAACTCTTTGTACAAAAACACCCTGTAGAAAAAGATAACCATAAAGTCACAAACTTTACCAACAAAGTTCAGATTTTTATCAAAAAACAACAAACCTAGGAATCCAAGAGAGCTGAGTGACACGAGTTGGATCAAAAACAAGAGACGAAGCAGACCCATCTTATGAGAGGGATATATGGTATTGAAATCAACGATCAAGTAACAGAAGCAGAGTCATGGAGTCGTCGAGGAGTAGATAAATCAAGAAGAAGAAGCGGAATCCACCGAGGAGAGAAATCACGAAGTAGAGAAATCGAAGAGAGAAAGACGAAGAGACGACGCAACAGCCGATTCTTCGGTAGGGTTTAAAAAAACTCGCCTCTTACCTATTTTCTCTTTTTTCAATTTTAATACTTATCGATATAGTTTCTATTAACTATTTCAACAAAAAATATATTAATGCCACTTTTTATATTATATATAAGTATATTTGACTATATATTATTATTGGAGATGTCTTTTATTTTATATAAATATTGTTGTAAATGTATATTTATTGCTTCTTTGTAGAATTTTAGTGACTATAGTTAATTATTAATAATACTAGATGCATAGTCCCCGCGCAAGCGCGGAGGTTGGATACGTTATTGATGTGTTGTGTAGTTTTGTGTATGAGACTTTGCTATTTTTTTTAAAGATTTGTTTATCTGGCTTATCTATAATGGTGATGAATGAAACATTAGAAGTCACTCAACTTGATTAGTCTGATGAAAGAATAAATATCAAATTTATATGGGTTGATATTTTTCATATTTTATCTTCGTAGTGATTTTATCGAGCATTCCATTTATTAGTGATTTTATCGAGCATTACTGTTATTAGTGCTTTCATGTAAAAAAATAATTTAATGGAGACAAGAAAATAAAGGACATGTGTTTATTAGTGTAATTTTCTTTCTGAAATTATGTTGTATATATATATATATATATATTTTAATTGTGATGTATATGAGATTTATGGCCGATCTAAATGGTTTGGGGTAAATATTTATTATTGAAAAAATATGTTTTTGATTTATTTGATGATTAGATTTAAATGATATTGGAGGTTAGAACATGATAACCTTTCTTATAAAAATATCTAAGATGGTCTTATAAAGTTTCAAATCCTTAAGCCATTTTGTATCCCAACAACCAGCATAAAAAATCATTCTGAATCTCCCTAAACTTTTAGGTATCCCGAAAAGCCCAAATTAAAAAAAAAATTACATGCAAACACTGCGTTTCGAACCTGCACACTCACGGTACCAACTTCTCGTCACCAACTTAGACCACTTGGCCATTTCATCACTTATCGATAACATTCAATCTTAAAAATGTTATACGTTTTTGTTTTCCCTAATAACACGTGCGAGGCCCGCAAACTTGCTGACGTGGACACGCTGAGGAGCTTCAAAAGTGTACTATTATTATATAGATTGAACACTAAAATGTAATATATAAAATTTTGAGAGAAAACTTTTAGAAGTTAGGGTTGGAGACCTATCTTTTTATCTCTTTATTTTTAATGAGTCCTTCCTTTAAAATAAAAAGTGTGGTTAGAGCAAGGTTAATTATGCTTTAAATATTTAATCATATGATTATTGCACACCTGTAATCACGAAAAGTGGGTCCCAAATGTTCTCTTTCTATGTAGGACCTACACGTTTAGGCCCATTCGGTGGTCGTCAAGAAAAGCCTAAACGCACGTTCCTCACCTCCAAAAGTAAAAAGCTATCTTATTTTCTCGATAATTTATACACAAAACTATATATTATGTTTTTGATAAAAAAAAAACTATATACTATGTTAAACGAATTTCGTTATTGCATTCTAATAATTTTTACTTATTATAAACTTGCGTATTCTAAATTTTTTTCTAACAACTACTAATTTGGGTATTCTATATCTATGAAAAGACCAAACTAATTAAAATATATATATATATATTTATATATATAGATGAATCTGTTTTGGAGCATTTGAGGTCCAAAACATAAAATGCTACACAAATTTAATGCCTTGAATAGTTATCCTACAAACTTAATTCATCCGTTTAATTATGTCGACAAACGATACGCTGATCATTTTCGCAATTATTTATGCTCACTAGTTTAAGACTTTTTTTTTTTGTGCACGACTATATATATTCATATGTTGTATCGAATATATATACTAAGTGTTTAATCTGTATTTATGAACCATACCCAAGTTATGATACAATATAATAAAAGAATACCCCAAAAGAAAACACAAAAGTAAACATCTGCCCCATCTTGGTTAAGCTCCTAAAGACGAATACATTCACAATTCATTTTTTCTTTAATATCATTGCCGTGTCCTAAGCAACCGATCACCGATCGTTCTCATCTCAAAAGTCTTGACGGCGAGGCCAACGTCGCGGATCGTAGTGTCAAGTACGTAAGGATTGTTCTCGAAAACAACTCGAGAGTCATTGAAAAGATGACGGCAAGGCTCACGGCGCTGAGAGATGGATCCATGGTAGTGGAAGTAACGGATCTTGCTCTCAGCCTTGTGGTATGTTTTGCCTTGTAGATTCTGAGACATGTGAACACCTGTTGCAAATACATTACTCGGCTGGACCGCGTATTTCCGGTCACGTCTTGGAACTTTCTTCACGTCTCTATATGCCATTTTCTCAAATCCCCAGTTCCTGAAACATAACATAACTTACCACTTAGATATTCAATCATGTGATGTGAAAACATAAGCAACCGACTTTTGCAGGCCAAATGTTAACAGAATCAGATGCCTATATAATATTCGAAAAAGCCAATCAAAGACTAGTACTTTTATTATTCTAACGTTACTCAACACATGGGTTTTAGTTAAAGTGTCAATCATCAAGCCGACAACATCACGGGAAACAAAAAAAACCAGAGTCATCTAACAGCTGTTCTGTCTGAACAATCAAGATCTAGTCACTACAACTTTTTAATCCGAACCCGAACTACTGCAAGATTATAATTTTTTACCTGTAAGTTCTCGCCGGACCGTCACCAGAGTAACAAATCTTACTACTCATCGGCATCTGCTCAATAGTAAACTGAGAATACTCCTCCAAAGATTCCATCACCGAGGTAATTGTCTCCTTCTCCGGAACATAAATAAACTCATCAACATCAAAGAAGAACATCCACTTCGCCGCGAACCTATACCTATGCAAACAATCATTCACAACCATGAACTGATTATGATAATACCCATCGAACCATTCTTGCTCCCTGATATCATGCAACGTGACTCTCCCTAGCTCAATCCACGGCCTTAGAACCTCGAACACTTCCTCGTGTATCCCACCGGCGTCGTGGAGCACGAAATGCGACCGTTCTCCGAAGAACCTCACGTGGTAAGCGATCCATTCTCTTACTCGTTGTGGGCTTAGGTTCCCGTAGAGAGACGAGCCGCAGTAGAGGTAGTCGTACTTCTTCTTGGTTGAGTTGTAGAGGTTCAAGTCGACGGAGTTTGGTGGTTCCGTGAGGACAGGGATTGAGTCGGTAACGTTCTTGTCTGGATCTCCGGTGGTTGCGTGGAGGATGAGGTTTCCGCCGACGACGGTGGTTGATGGGAAAGTGCAGTTGACGACGACGGTTGTGTAGATCCGTCCGTATCCCCAGTCGGTTAAGATTTTAAACCCGTCTGTAGAAACCGGGTCTTGAGTCGGGTCGAGAGGGACCCACTCGCAGCGGTAGGAAGGGTGGCCGTACACGTGGAGAGGTTTTGACGATAAGCCGATAACGGCGAAGGTGTTGACGCCGCCTCTGTAAGCGCTCATTGAGACGAAGTTGTAAGCTGCAGAGCCGTAACCAGTAAACGTCCGTTTAATAACGCCGTTATCTAAAACTCTGTCTACTAGGTCCGTCGTTGTTGTGTTCTCGGGTGAGAGTTTTGTTGTGGTTGTGGTGGTGTTGACGGGGACGGCGGAGGAGAAGCGTGAGATGCAGAAGCGGAAGTTGGAGGCGGAGAGTGAGAAGGAAGAAGGTATGAAAGGTAGGAGAGTGGCTAAAGTGAAGATAACAAGTAAGGCCATGAAGATGAGCTTGAGCTCCGTGGAGAAGTTCCATATGAGGCTGACCAGGAGCTTTTTCTCCTTATTAGGATGTTGCTCTCTCTCTTTAATCATGTTGACTGATAGGCACTGGATCTGACTGGAGAGAGTCAGAGAAGAAGATGAATAAGAAGGAAGAAGAAGAAGAAACAGTAGTGAATAGATTCGTTCTCTCAGTGTATCTGTCTCCTCTCTCTTTCAACAAGTCGGCGAGTCGAGTCGCTTTCTGTTCTACACTATGTCTTTGTGTACACCTGTTTTTCTTTGTCTTGTTACCAGCGGCTGCATTTGTTTCTATGTATGTATACATACATTTTAATGAGTTTTGGGAAAATGCAATATTCTTTGATATTTCTCGAATATGCTATTTTTCCATTCTTTTATCTTTGTAAACACATACGGAAAAGAATGAAAACAACTTATAAAAGATTACCATAATTTGACACCCTTCCCCTCCCAAAAAAAGATTACTAGAATTTGATCAAATACTAAAACATCGTTACTCTATCCATCACTGCAGCAGCATAACATTCTTGTGGAGGGACATATTTAGTGTTTTTTGTTCTTTTAGGTACGTGTGTTTAATTCATGAATTTCGTTCTTTTCTACTTAAAAGAAATAAAAAAGTTAACTCTATCTATATATATTTTTTTTTTATTTTTTTTATAACTCTGGTATCTGAGTAGCCACATTCCCAACTATCTCTCCGAAGGGGGTCCAACACCCCAACGAAAGAGATGTTAAATTCGTTGTGGCCAAGGCTCGGATGGCGGACAGTACATATATACCTCCTTTACCACCAAACTACGAACGCTTGGTTAACTCTATATATTTGGTGTGTGGTTTAGTGCAATTTTTACAACATTTTGTTTTTCATCCCCTATACATTATTTGTGAAGTGATTTTGCCACATGTCCTCTCTAGAATCAATTTTCACAAAAAATGATGACATGTCTACTAGAATTGATGACATGACATATGATTAAATATGACATGGACAATTGCATTTAATGTTAATATATATTTTTGGAAAACCTTATAGAATATGGTAACAACTCATATATTACATTTAATGTCGATTTATATTTTTGGAAATAATTTTAAAATATGTTAATAACTAATAAATCATCATTAAAATAAATATATACCAATATGACATTAAAAATTTCGAAAATATCATTTAATTGTATATTTTAAAACTATACAATTTTATTACAAAAATTTCAAAAATGTATACATTTTCGAAAATTATTAAAATTTAATCCTAAAATTATTAATTTCTTATATATTTAAAAAATTAATAAATATTGTCTTACTTTAATTTTTTATAATTATAAAATTTTCTACAAATTTGTTTAATTAAAATAAATAGTTAAAAATTATCTAAGATTATAATTTTAAATATATACATGCATATTCTTAAATATAATTTAAAATAAACAAAAATATTTTTATATTACTTTTTATGTTTGATTAAACAAAAATTTGTATTAAAATAGTGATAAGAAAAAGAACTCATAAATTATCATTAAGATAATGAATAATATAATAATAGAAATATAAATATAATAAAATTAGAAATATTGAAATATTTTTAAGTGTATTTTTATAATTATATATTTTTTATTAATAATTTTTTTTTCAAAATTTTATGCAGTTTTTTAAAAATTAAAATTTTCTAATACCATTAGCTTTATTTATAACATCTTTAACTTTTAGAAATATTATTTAGTTTTATATTTTGATAATTATAACAATATATTCTCTTAATAGTATAGAATCTGATTTAATATAATTTAACCAAAAGACAGAAGATACATATATATTATTAAATATAAATTTAAGAAATTTTGTTTTAAGATAGACCTAAAAACAAGTTTTAATCACAAATATAGACCTTAAAATAAAAATGACCAAGAGAGACTTAAATGTTTTATCAAAAATAAATAAATATGCACTTATATCTTTTGGGTTAACTAATCGTAAACTTTTTTTTTTAAAGTTGAGGAGTGAGGTTTTGGGGATAGGATTACAAATTTTTTTTAAAAAAATTTGAAATTTTCAAAATAAAAAATGTTGTTTTGGTCATATTAGTTTTAAGATCTATTTTTGTGCAAAAACCTAAAAAAAATTCTATTTGAGAGAAATGTCATATATTTAAATAAAACTGTTTATTTTCTCTTAATTTTTACATATAATTAATGTAAAATTAATAATGTAATAAAATAATAAATTTAAAAATTAATTAAATTTTATTTTTAAATATAAATTTATTTTTAAAACTTTTATTTCTGCACATAGTGCAGGAAGCCACCTAGTATGTAATGAATTGCAGTTTAGCTGTTATTGTGTATAAATGTTGAGAACTTGCACCGTAAACGGCAAGCATTACGTAAAACAGGATGAAACATTGGTTTTAATTCCCAAAAAGTTTTGAAAAAAAATTACATGTATACATGTCTCAAAAAGAAAAACTTTAGATTTCCAAATCTGTAAAAAAAAAATTTTGGTAAAATCGTTAAGAAATCATTTTTGATTCCATAATTTTCAGAATCGGCCCTCACTTTAGATAAAATTTATAAAAAACACATAGCCAAGTAAAATCTTAATTCAACTTTTGACATTATTGTAATTGAAATTTAAATTACATTTGGCTCGGTCAATATTCATATAAAATATAATGTTTGATGACATTATTTGTATATCCAAAAAACTATATTTTCTCTCCAAATAATCCTCTTTCCTAATGCTGTATTATTTTGACTCGCAGACGTCACAAAGGATGGAAGGAATATAGATGTGATATGCCTGCAGCGCGTGGATTGGACCTAACTAGATCTGTCATCGACATATGCTAAACGCCAAACTCATATTATTATTAACAGTAATTACTTTCTGGTATCGATTATTAGTGTCGTTTCTCAAATGATTTGTGACGTTTCTATTTAGTATTTACTAGGGGTTGAACAGATCGGATATCCAGAATATTTTATAATATCCAGATCCGAATCCGTCACATTGCTATCTAGATCTGAATTCGGGTTTTTCAGATATTCGAGATCTGGATATCTAGACTAAACACGAATACCCGCGGATATCCGGATGCATTTTTTTTTCTAAAAAAATAAAAAAATAAAAATTAAGTATTTATTTATTCTATTAAAAATTATTATTATGCAAAAAATTAAAATAAAATAATATAATTTAATAACAAAATTAAGTTTTAATTATTTTTAATAAAATATATAATATATCTATATAAATATAATTATATTTTAAAAATATTTAGTAGATCCGAATCCGGATCAGGAAATCCGGACTAAAAAATTCACTATCCGGATCCGGATTCGCCAGCTCCGCAAAATCACTATCCGGATCCAGATCCGGACTCCCAGATATCCATTTTTTTAGAGTAGATCGGAGCAAATAGCGGATATTAAATCCTAGTATTTACCATTACTTGTCTAGTTTTTATAGTTTTGCTTAAACCGAAAGAATTATAACTGGTCTCTCCGCTATCATCCGCAAACGCAATTTTTGCGATTGACAACAGTTGTTGGCGTTTTGAAACAATTACTCAAACCGTTCTAAACCGCTGCAAATATTTTTAAATCTCTTAAAATCAAAAGCTGGTTCCAGCTACCGCTTGCGGTTGCGGGATGGTAATTTTTTTCTTTTTTAAAAAAAATATAAATACAAAAATTATAAATCGGAATTATAAAAAATATCAAAATATATCTATTATATTTTAATTAACGTTATATAATTTTAAAATAAAAATATTTTCTATAATTTAAAAGTTGAAACTATAACTTTCTAAATATGATTTTTATATTTATTATAATATTATAATTTTTGATATTTTATAATTATATAAAATGTAATATTATTACTTTATCATTTTACAGCTTCTGCATTTGGTAGTTAACCCGTCATAAGTATTCCGTAAACGCACCAACTTCTAGCTCTATTACCAATCGTATAAATCTTTTAAAATTGCTAAAAATTGCAACCATCCACTTCTATAAACTCTCGCAATCGCAACCGCTGTGTTTGAACTAGTCAAACTCTTAATTTAGTTAGGACATTTGTCAGGCGGTCGACGTTTTAACCAAAATTAAGAATATAAATTACAAAACTCAACAAAAAGGATGAATTGTGACGTCCTTGTTCACCACATTTTTAAAAATATTTCAGCTACACTGTTTTTTTGTTTTTGATAAAAAGTTTGCTTGAATTAATAATTTGTCCATACGGAATTTACAAAGAATAAAGATAAGGTAGAAGAGATTAAGTTTAGCTTAATCTACTGAATCATCTCAAAGCGAATGATAGGACAAAAGAGAAATAAATTATCCTTAGATGTGAGTAGGGCTGGGACTTAATATCCGCTATCCGCTATCCGATCCGGGATCCGATCCGATCCGCTCCGAAAAAACGGATATCTGGGGGGTCCGGATCCGGACCCGGATAGTGATTTCACGGATCCGGCGAATCCGGATCCGAATCCGGATAGTGGAATTTTCAGTCCGGATATCCGGATCCGGATCCGGGCCCACTAAATATTTTAAAAAAATATTTAAAATATAATTATATTTATATAGTATATTATATATTTTTTATTAAATATAACTAATACTTAATTTTTTTAATAATTTCTATTATTTTAATTTAACTTTTTTCCAAAATAATATTTTTTAATAGAATAAATAAATACTAAACTTTTAATTTTTAATGTTTTTTTTTATTTTTATTTTTTTAAATAAATCGGATCCGGATATCCGCGGGTATCCGAGTTTTAGTCCGGATATCCGGACCCCGGATATCCGGATGGCCCGGATCCGAATCCGGATAATAATTTTACGGATCTGCCGAATCCGGATCCGGATCCGGATATCTTAAAATACCCCGGATATCCGATCCGTCCTACCCCTAGATGTGAGGTCTAGGACTACCACGGCCACCACGACCCCATTTCTTTGACCAACTAGTATCACACACTTTTTGAGAAGGTTTCAAATCCTTCCACGTAGAGACTTCTGAGTAGATGCATTATACTATTTACCAATAAAAACTTCATTTGTATTGAAAAGATCACAAAAGACATCTGCTCCTAGTCGAACCAAGTGAAATAAATTGGAAATTTCTCTTCAAAGCTTTTATATCGATTCCACGATTATACACAAAAGAAGAACCAGCTTCTCAATAATTCACGAAGATCAAAGAAGAAATGACAACAAAATTATGTGAAAACTTTCATAAAGATTTCTTACAAAAATACAACAACCCACTTTGATTAAATTCGAAGTTTTTCATTTCATTACCATTCAAAGAAAACGTTGATAGTACACCAACAAAAACTAGCCATGCAGGAATGCCGTCCACTTTGCTAAAACAAACTAATAAAGAATACGACCAGCTAATAGAACAAGGAGTCGTTTCATCAGTTAATTCTCCATGGGCATGTAAAGCATTCTATGTTAACAACCGTGCCGAACAAGCAAGAGGAAAACTCAGATTAGTCATCGACTACAAGCCATTGAATCAATACCTACAAAACGTCAAATTTCCACTACCAAATAAAAAAGGCGTTTCTTCAACAGAGTAGTGGCCATATCACTCCCTTTACCTAGAAATTACAAACTTTCGTCTGTCAACACAACTTTGTCAATACGACGACCGCCCATTTCTGTGCAAAATGGTATCAGCGCTTGCCTCAGCCACATCGATTACATCATCGCTTACATCATGCTTACATCATTCTTCCCGTCCAATTTAGCATCTGATCCAGAGAGGGGTTGCTGGATAAGGGAGGAGACTCAACAAACTTATCTTTGGACAAATTAACCTTCTCAAATTGAACTGAATAAGAAGCTGAAATCCTATCGGGGAAGAAAGTGAGTTCATCTGCAGACTTTTCAGTTGCATAATCTGGAATTGAGAGACTATCAGTGAAGTAAATGGACTCACTAGGAGACTTCTTTTTATTAGCATAATCTTGAGCTGAGATCTCATCAGTAAATGAAATGAACGAGCTCATCAGTGGATTCTCTTCAGCTACACTGTTTCGCCAGCGTAACCATTTTGCTTGGCTTCTCTCCAACTTTTTAGTTGCAAAACGAGAAAGCTCCTGTTCAGACCACATGATTAGAATAAATATTTTGTGATGACAATTTTTTGTCCTCTATTTACCTAGCCAATTTCTACATATTAGCCATGTTCGTTTCATCATCGCTGGACGCATCAGTTGCAGTAAAGAAATACACTTCGATGAATACAAAAAATAACAGACAAAAAGGTGAAGTAGTCACTAATGTTTATTGGAGACACAAGAAAATGGAACACCGGTGACGCCATTGATTCCAGCGTCTCTTTTACTTAGTATTCCATCTATTTCAGTTTGTTGCTTATTTTAGATTTCTCATACATATTAATAAAACATATAATAAATTTATACCAATAAAAAGATCCAATAAGTACAATTGAGTTTTTTTTTTTGAAATTTGTAATTAATCATTATTAAAATATGCATTAAAAATATATATATATATATATATATATATATGTATATATATGTATATATATATCTTTTGAAATATTTTTTTTTTCTTGAAAACATGTAATATTATGAAACAAAGAGAATATTAACTACCACTCCAACTGAAAAACAAATTAACGGTCTTACACCGGTGCTCTGCATTATCGTGATGAAACGGTATTTCACCGGTGCTCTGAATTATTGTGATAGCTGCCACTGGATTTAGTGATCATGAAACGAACATGGCTATTATGGTTCGTTTGTTGTTGTTGAAATTGTTTCTAAACAATTGTTTTTTTTTTTCAGTTCATAGTATTTATGTTCTTAACTAAAAATTAATTTAAAAATCAAAAGAATTGTAAGCATTAAAATTGGACTATTTAGACATTTCACATATATAAAACTGGCGCAAATTGGGTAGTATGTATATTCTTTTAAATTTAAGGCCCTTGTGATCATAGCCGACGAAGCCCATTTGGACAAAAAAAAAAAAGACAATCACACACACTAATGTTATGTGGGCCCAACGTGGTCGGGCCCGAGTAAACCACCAAACCAGAGGATATCAGAGACTCGTCGACTGAAAAGAAGAAGAACACAAAATCAACAAATTTCAGAAGATCGAGAGAAGAAGAAGAAAGGATGCCTCTGAGTGCGACAATGGTGGGAGCTTTGCTGGGTCTCGGTACCCAGATGTACTCCAACGCTCTCCGCAAGCTCCCTTACATGCGCCGTAAGTCCACGCTTTCCTGATCCAAATCTAAATTTAATTCCGATTGGATTATGTTTTTCTTTGTTGAAAATGGATTGTTTGGTATTTGATAGATCCGTGGGAGCATGTGGTGGGTATGGGACTCGGTGCTGTGTTTGCGAACCAGCTCGTGAAATGGGATGTTAAGCTTAAGGAAGATCTCGAGGTCATGCTCGATAAGGCCAGAGCTGCTAATGAGCGCCGTTACTTTGGTATGTCTCTGTCTTTCTTGGAAGTCTCTGTCTTTACGGGTTTTTTTGTTTAGTCTATCGTGTTGTTTCCCAATGGATTCATTAATATATTCATAGGGTTCTAACCCCAAACACGTGATTGATCAGTTTAGGCTAGCTCGTTACAAAAGTTAGAACAGTGTTTGTATTAACTAGCTCTCCAGAAGAGAGGAAAGATAGATACTTTTGATTATTTCTTTGGTTCTAGAATTTATACAACGTGCAAGCGATACTATTGCATTATGATATACACAGAAACTAGATTCTAATTTGAAGGGAATCACACCTGTCTCTTATTGTACGTGTGTTTGCTTTGTTAGTTATAGCGCAACTGTTAAGCTGTTAATACGTTTTTCACTAACATAACTTTTGACATATGTTAAGTTTATCTAGTTTCATGTTAATATATTCTTGTTGATCGTGAGGGTGTAATTACATTTCTTTCTTTGCTGATTAAGTCTTGCGTACGCAGACTTTTGATCTTTTATAACTTATCTGACTTTGAATTTGTTGTAATTCAGATGAAGATCGGGATTAGTTATTGAGTGGTCTTTGAAGTCTTCAGAAAAGAAGTATTTTCCGCTGGATTCATGTCAAGTGTTTGTTTTGTTTGATCTTAGGGCTGGTTCCCTTTTGCTTCGGCACTGGAGTTCTTTTCATTCAATGCTTTTTGTTATGACTTATGAACCTAAAGATTTGTGGTTTGACAGTCTAAATCACATGAATCTGCTTGTACCTGGCTAATAATTTCGAATGTGAAACCTTTCAATGCTCAAGGGTAATATTCGAGTCTCAAAAGTTAACTACTCGGACCAAGTGGTTTTTATTTGTAACCACCACCTGAAGACCACATAAAGACCACATAAGAGCCAATGCATGGTTCCAGTGTGTTTGTTGGCTAAACAAACTCATTGAATACAATCTAACACATTTAAACTAATGGTCCATACAGATGCATAAGCTTAAACTGAACAAAAAAAATATTCTTCTAAGTAGCTCAAAATGGAGGGAGGACCAAGTATGAATCTCAGCACTAAATCCAAGGATCAAAACAGTAAACGTTCTTGATAAATGTCAAGTGCCTTGATGATCTTTCCAATGAACATCTTCCTGTGCATTCTATACTTAACCGCTGTCGCAAACGTTGTCCTCGCTTCCAACATTGAATCTGATTACAAAACCAAGAGCTAGAGCTAAGAATTGATCTTTATGCTGTAAACTGCAAAGCATCACTATCGTCGTATATATCTCGTTAATGGGTTTATCATACCTAGCAATTTCTGGTCTTCCTCTGAGGTTGTGGGGTATTCAGCAAGCATCTTTTTACATTCATCTTGCAACTCTTTAACCGCTTTTCTCTCAGCACTTGGTATTGGAGGAAGATCTATGTCTGACCAAGTGGGCAGTGTTCTTGCTGCAGCTATAACTGCTCCATCAACAAATGAATCATCTCCTGATAACTCGCCTGCCACATAGTAGTGTCAACACAATAAGTAACTAACATTGCTCCTCATTTCTCCAATAGTGTGGATACTAATGTAACAAACTTACTATCATGGTAATATTCTTCTGGAAGACCGAAAATGTTGAAGACTGATAAAAAGGAATTCAAATGGATACGAGAATCTCCAGAGAACGGTATAGCATCCCATGGATTCTGCATCAGACATACAACATAAGAAAACATTGCAAAGTAACCATGTTCTGGCTGAAGCATATGTGTTAACAGTAAAAAGCATTACCACAGGAGTGGAGAAACCGTATCTTTCCATAAGCATATCGTTTTTCTGACCAGGCATGTAGTTAATGGTCATCTGCAAAAAACACCATTAAACTTGAAATCTTGCACTAGAATTAAGTAAAGGCTGACATGATTATGAGTCTCTTACCTCTTCGCCTTTCTTAATTGCCTGACCAGCATTTGACATGACCTCAAGAATGCGATCTTTGGGACGCCAATGTAGGAAACAGTTTGGTTCAAACGAATGGTTTAGCATGTCTGCAGAGAAGATGATTAAAACGCTTATAACTGTGAGATTGTAAAACAGTTAATACTAAAAATAACACCTACCAGCATAAGGAATCATCATGTTCAAATCTTGAACCAACGCACCGACCCTAGTTTTCATACTAATGCATCTTGTCTGCGCAATACTAACCGCCCATATAAACCTTTCTGCATCTTCAGCAAGCCTTTTGATTTTGAGAGGAACACCAGAATGCTGTTTTTGAATACAGTATATGTCAATAAACAACACATAAAACAGACATAACATAATGTTGTCTGAGATATGTTTACCCAATTCTTTTCCCAAAATTCAAAGACTCTTTTCTGTTGTTGTCTAATAGTTGAAACTAGCTGAGGATCTTGAAGCTCCGCAAGGTCTTCCTATAGCAAACAAAACACAGAGTATTAAGATATCACCAATGCAACCTCAAGGAATTTCTGTTAACAGCAATGATAGAATCAAACCTCAGTAGCTAGAAGCAAGCTGCTACACTCATCAGCAGCAGGCAGAAAATCTCCATAGAGTCTCCAGAAATGATCTTCTCGATCAAATGAGAATAGCAGAAGACACGCTAACCTGAGATCCCAATCTCTCTGTAAAACACAAACACATAAACTTTGTTAACAAGGAGAACACTTGGAGAAAGATGACAACTTCAGAGTTATTACCTCAGGATCCGTTGAGTTGATGATATCGAAAATGGGATGACCAATAGGAACAATGTCAGGGAAAAACATCCAAGGGTGCTTCTGTCTGATTGTTATCATCAACTCATGAGGAATCTCCATTATCACCTGACACAAAGATAAAAAAAAAAAAAAAAACAATTAAGAAACTAAAAAAGTTGTGAACTTAATTTAAAACAAAGAAGAAGACAGACTCTAGCACGGCGACGAGGTTCAATATCCTTAGAAGCATAGACACCAAAACCATCAGGGCCTTCCTTAAACTCAACTCCATAAGCTCTCACTCTTCTAACATACCCAATCTTGTAGAAATCAGGATCTGCTGGCTCCAACTAAGTCAAAACAAGCACTAAAGTTACAACCTTTACGAACCTTCAAATACTAATATACTATTTCATCCTTACCTCGGATAAGGAGGATTCTTCAGAAGCAGGAGACTGAAACAGAGGGAAAGGTTGTGTCTCCAGAGAAGCAACTTTGATGGGTTTTACACTGTTTTGTCTCTCTCTTACGAAGTTGCTTCTGGGTTTTGGTGCTGAGATACTTCCGTTGCAGAAACCCTTTGTCCGGACGGAAAATTATTAAAGAATAAAGACAAAAGGATAATAGATAGAGAGAGAGAGATTAAAGAACCTGAGGTTTGGAGATGAATGTGTTAATCAGGTAGTGAAGAGAGACGGGAGAAGCCATTGTTCTTCAACTGAAATAGTGGCAGAAGAGAAATGGGTTTTAGGAGGAGAGGGGGAGACAAAGATCGTTATCCTTTGTTTTCAAGTGTTGATTATGTAAACAGTAATGTTTATTGTTTCGTTGATATCATCAAGAAAGCTTTCATAGCTCAGTTGGTTAGAGCACCCGTTTAGTAAGCGGGAGGTCTTGAGTTCAACTCTCAATGAAAGCAGCCATCTTCTTTCCTTTTTTTTTTTAAATTATTAATTAGATAAATATATCCCTTGATATCTTAAGAAATGACAGGAAACATCCCAACATTTTGGAAAAATTTCTATACATCCTTTTTTTATCATCAATTTTCTATACATCCAACGCCAATACAAAAATACCATAATCTATTTTTTAGATCTCTTGATCATCTCACTCGTAAATAAATGTATACATTTAATGATCTCAAACATTTCTTTCTGCAAAGAAATATGGATATGGTCTTGAAATATCTTTTAGTAGAAATGAATAGTTACAAGTTTATAAAGTCTAGAGTTATTGGATTCAGTAAAAGCTTTGTTCAAAAAAAATCAAAGTAACTTGTCATGTTTTAAAATCTGTTGTTATTGGATTATTGATTTGAAAGAAAATTCTTTCTAAAATCTGTTTATCAAAGTATTACAAGTTGATCAAAATAGTTGTTGAAAAATATAAAACTTGGGTTATTGAACTAATATATGGTTTTGATTACAGATGAAAGGTCAGTAGTTTCTGAACTGAAACATTATGTTCATGACTTCATCAAATTGCAGTAACTGTATTTAGAATATTGACACTTTAGAGATGTCGCTAAATCAACAGCTAGAGAAGTTCAAACAAATGCCAATCTACAATCTCTGACAATTGCTTCATCAAAAGTGAGGATGTACGTGCCTGCTTCAATCAGCCAGAGGTAGCGTTAATTAGCTAGATACAAAGCGACTTCAGGAGACAATATTAGTATAAGAAATACTTTGTGGTACTGCTCAAATCAAGACTTTTATTTTTATTGATAATTTTGATATCAATCAAAAGGAAGGTTGAAACCATATTCTGAAGGAACGTGTGGATCTCCACCTGCCAAAGATAAACTCTCTCTCTCTACTTTGTCGCCTCACCCTCTTGATCGAGGAGTTTCTTCTCCAGTCCCGGCCCATAGGAAGGGCTCCTCTTCCTGCTTTCTTTTCTCGTCTTGTTCCTGTTTTGAACTCTGTTTTATAAGCGTCAATGTTTCTTTTCTGGTTATTCAGAGTTTAAACATGGATGATGTGTAATCATATGATCATATCAAGGAAACTTAAAGCTTTTTGTTCGTTCAACTGAAGATATCTCTGACTGAAAAAGAAGATAACACACGTCTAACAGACCACACTCTTTTCAACCACATCGAGTCGAAATATTGTAAAATTCTTCAAAAACATATTCGATCAATGTACAAGGAAATTATATCCTTCGTGATTTTTCCTTTGGGATGGGTTACTCCTTCACCTAGGTTGTAGCACATGCAACCCAAGCGTGCAGTTGATGGCTATCTTTAGAAGCCGACGTGGCACATTCTTTGTCATCAAGAACTCCTCGTTCATTATCTTACGCGCTTCTGCTTCCATTTCTCGGAGTTTTCTAAACGCTTCGTTTTCGGTAACCCCATGTTGTTTCATATAAGAATTTACTCCATTCCAAAGACACCCTCTGCTCATGTCCTCCTAATCAATGCATGCATATATAAGTTGGTAATCACATAACATATTAATTAGTTTCTTTTTCCGATTAACTTTACATTATTTATTTGTAGGGCTGAGGGTCTATAGTATAAGGGATTAACAAAGGCGCTTCGTTTTAAGTGATCAACATAGTAGGAATCACGTTAAAAAAAAAAACATACCAGTAACCTGTCATTTATATAAATGTTTCAGATTCTCAATTTTATGTTTATTTTGATATAACATCTAAAAACCTCCAAACCTAAACCAAAATAATCTGAACAGAATGGAGTGTAATAGGCTGACATTGTAAAGGTGATTCGTCCGGGTGTCTTTTAATTATAAATTTGGAGAGGAAATATTAAACGCGTATCAGAATTTCTGATTTATACATGGACGAAAATTCTTGGCACGGCCAGTCATACGCATACATAGCCGCACGCATAAAATACTGGTGTAGAACGCCAAAATTTTAAAAGTTACACATCAAATATAGAATCTTCAAACTGTTAAACATAACTTTTAATTAAATTATTTATAACTCGCCAAATCTCAAGATTTTAGATTTGGTTGGGGCCGGGGTTCTCCGTTTTAAATAGAAGAAAAACTATTTTAACACATAACATACCAACAAGGAGAGATAACAAATGACAATGCAATGCAACGATAAGAGCTACTTTTTATAGAAATTATGAGACAATTGTATACCGCAAAAGTATTAGTCAAGACTGTAAAACCCAAGACACGCTTATCAAATAATTTAAGAGAGATGTTCATTTCACTACAAGAAAACACGTCTTTTACTAGGACGGGTTTTCCTCGTTATTTACTAGGAAATAACGAGGAAACGTGTTTCGTCGAAATACGTTAATCGTAAAGCCTATTTTCCTCGTAAAGGCCTAGCTAATTTACGAGGAAAGGTTTCCTCGTAAAGCCGTAGAAAAGATTTCCTCGTAAGCTCCACGTATACTTTCCTCGTAAGGGCATAGTAAACTATTTCCTCGTAAACTCGTAGTAGACCCTTCACGAGGAACTTGCTAGGAAAGTTTACGACGAATTTACTTCGAAACTTTTACGAGGATTTAACTTCGAAACAATTTTTTCCTATTTAAAAAAAATATTTATAAATTAAAATTATATATATTAAAAAAAATTAAAAAAATAAATAACAAAATATTTATAAATAACTAAATAATATACAATTAATAAGTTTTAAAATTCATAATATACAATTAAAAACTAAAAAAAAACTAAAAAGGATGCTGGTCTTGAAATTGGTTCACGAAGTCGTCTCCAATGTTGGATGCCGGCTNAAACTAAAAAAAAACTAAAAAGGATGCTGGTCTTGAAATTGGTTCACGAAGTCGTCTCCAATGTTGGATGCCGGCTGTGACTGAGATGGTGGAGGCTCTTGGGATGGAAGGGCTCCGCTTTCCCGTCTCTGACGCAACACTTCCGCCACTTGCGGGTTTCCAACCGCCACAACGTCGAGGATATCCGTGAGCGTACGCATATGAGACTGCGTCGCCTGCAACTCCGTCCGCAGCTGCGCATTGTCATCGGCTTGTTGGTGAACATAAGCCGATGTCACTGCGGGGACATCGTTAACCGAGCCAATCTCGATAACACGACCCCTTTTCCTCGGAACGACCTGTAAATTAAAATATTAATAACCGAAGCAATAAAATTAAATAAACAATAAAAAATAATATATTAAAATTATTTACCTCCTCGTAAATCTTATCCACTTCAAGAGTGGATAATACGACCGGAGCCCCAGTCTGCTGAGTCAACTGGGTCTGGTGCTCGTCAACTCGGGCAACAACCTCGTTGTAGATCCGCTCGGAAGCAGGATCTACAAACTGCCCACTCTTCCTTCGGTGGGTCCGCTCGTAAAGGTCTTTCAGAGATGGAAGAACTCCTGTCTCTTTAGCCTTTATTTTTTTTAAATTAAATATTAATTTAGAATATTATAATATTAAAATAAAGTAAAATTTAATAGTTATAAAAAAATACCATGTCTAGACGAACTCCCCCGTGAGGCTTTCGGCCCGTGGTGTGAAGTATCTTCGTGTTGCCATGCTCGTCCGTGGCCATGCGGTTCCCGGAGTTTGTATTGGACGTTCGGATCGAATCCGGCAACGTCCAATAGCTGATGAGGCCATCCCACACCGTGGTTGTGAGGCAAT